AGAGAGAGAGAGTAGAAAATGGGTTCCATATATGTTTCTCCTTATTTTATTTGAGAATACCAGAGGCCTTGCCGTTCACCATTAGCCTCATCTTTCCCGGGGGAAACAAGAATCGTTGCTTTTCGAGGCACATCCGCATTTCGCACTGGGGGTGAGAATCCCTTTCGGGATGGGCCATAAAAAGCAGACTTTCTTCATCAGCAACAGTATACTCTCTTTTCCCGGTCGTATTTTTCACTCCTTCTTGCGCTGTTCATAAATGAGGGTTTCGCTGCTTTAAGCATCAGCCCTGGAGCGTGTAATTCGAGGGTATGCGTTGAATGAGGGACATTTTTCTGACTGCTGCTGCTGCTGCTCTTGCGGCTGCTGTGATCCACCGGATTATTGCTGCTTTATTGCTCATCTCCGGTCGGATGAAATGTACGACAGGGAACGAGAGTTACATTTATATATACTGTACCGTAAGTCTTATACATCTCAAACTAAAGAAAGGAGGACTTGCCAGCAACGCATTCAGATGAAAGTTTTGAAATGTTTGTTTAGAACGATGAGAGAAAAAAAAAACGGCTGTCTTATGTGGTTGCTTTGAGATCGAGACCTTTCAGTCTTTTTGAGAGTTGTGAGACGCAAGTTGTTGGGGGGTATTTCCGAGATCAGCTTCGCGGTTAGATGTTATTCATGCTTTATTATTGCTTCTCGTTCGTTGAAACTTAACCCATGGAGTTTTTGAAAGTAATCCTGCTACGAAAAGGCAATATCAATATGTCATCCCTAAAATAGCCCGAAATTCCCAGAGGCTTTCCTTGATTCGTTTCTATATAAAAACCCTTCCGGAGTTTCGTCGGATCTGATGAATGCGCTGCGACATTTCCTGCTTTGAATTTTTGAAAACGTTCAAGGAGTTGCATGTACAGTATTAATTTTCTAAAAGCAGGTGCGAAGACCTTCTTTGAACCTGTTCAAGGATTGTGGTCTTCTTACACGATGAACTGCATTCCAGCATTCATGTTTAGAAACAACTTCCTCATCGTTTTATTCGCCCTGAACTTCTTTTATCCTTCAAGTTGCCTCAGAAATTTATGAGCAAAATAGTCAATGTCAGATTGTTGAAATCATCATGAAAGTCCCACTCGATCATTGGGGCTTTTACGGTATGACTTCCTCGTCGGCTTCAATCCCACCCCGTTTTCTTACCAAATCTTGACAAAGAACGAACGATTAATAACAAAGAGTTCCTTGGCTATCTTGAACTTCTGACTTAAAAATTTTGGTCAATTCGGTAACACTCTTATTAAATTGTTCACAATGAAGAGAAAGCTTCTCGACAAAAATAAATTAATGAAAAAATGAACACTATCTGCAGTAGGGTTAAACACGCCCCTTTAATGCAACTGGAAAATTTAAAGAAAAGTTTTAGAATTTATGCCGAGCTAGTTTCATCATTTTTTTCTGGTATATCTCGGAGCTAGAGAAAAAGCGTCAAACGGTGTAACATCATTGAAATATCCATCCTGACATATAATTTTCTGGTTTATCTTCTACGTTTAAGCTTGTCAAATAAGAGGAAGTTAGTTTACTCAAGAAGCAAAAGCAGTTGAGCGGAAAAGTGATAAAACTACCTGCAATGACCGTTTGCATATGACTTGCAAATTTTGTGTTAAGATTCTGTCGTCTGTTTATCCAAGTTTAAACTTTAACGGTAGAAGCGACGCATTCCGTATTCTTCAGCTATATCCTGAATACATATTCGATTCGCAGTCTTTCGATGACAAAAGTTGCAGATTTCGAAAAAGTGCTCTGCTTGAGTAGCTCTTTTTGAGGTTGCCAATTATTTTTTCGAAACGAGAATCCTTCTATTTTTTTCTGAAGCTTTGATTAGCTATATCCTCAATACATATTCGATTTGCAGTTTTTCGATGAAAATTGGGGATTTCTAAATTTCGGAAAAGGCTCTGATTGAGTAGCTCTTTCGGAGATTGCCAGCAGTATTTTGCTAAAAGAAATCAATTCTCTTCTCTTCAATTATGATAATTATTGTCTTCTACTCATGAAAGACAATTTTAACATTACGCGAGAATTATTTCTGATTAGCCCATTGTGCAATGAATAAACGACTCCCTCTATTTTCAAGCACTTGATGTGATCACAAATTGAATGCAATCCAAGACTCCTAATAAGGCTTAAGTGGCCAGGGGGTAATTTTCCGGAATGAGTGAGCTGCACGATCCATCAATGGTTTGACGCTTCCAGGATGACCCATCACACTTGCAGGCGCCGCCGTCAAGGCAAAGGCAGTGCCCTCGAAAAAGATTGCAAAAATAAAAGATAACACTCCTCGCCAATTTCAGTACTTACTAGAACAGATAGCCGACAAGTGAAGCCATTCCGCCGGGAAGTGTTTGATCGATGGTTCGGGTTCTCGAGCTCCCGAAGTCCCGAGACCTGCGACATTTCTCACGGCTGACCGCTTTATCTCCTCGCTAATATGCTTAAAAAAAAGAAACTTGCTTTTGGTTCAAGACTCTGAATTTTTTGTAACCTTGAGAAAAGTACTGCTTGTGATTACTGCTGGACGAGACAGCCTTCGGGTGATGCTTTCGGGCTTGAGATGATGGACTCGAGTTTAGCGAGGAAATTACGTGATCGGAGTTGTCACGGGATGCGTGTGTTTACAGCGACCGATTTTATCCCTACCGGCAATTACCGGGCAACAGAAACCAGGCTTTTTGGACGTTGTTGCGTCAAAACGAGTTTCTTGTTTCTAAAAAAATAAATTGCTTGTCAAGAGCTAATTATTATTTGTTTTGTTTTTTTCTGGATCTTATGATCTTATTCATGATTGCGTAAGTGGAAGGGTGGGTAAGCTGGACTTGTTATGATTGGATGACGTGGTGAATCAATTGAAGGAATTAAATGTTCTCGAATCATGTTGACATTCTCCGGCGTCATGGTTTGACAGGCGGACTTTCTTTCTTGAGCAACACAAATATAAATGTCTTCGTTCTCTTTGGAAAAAACAAATGATGAGAAACTTTTCTGGAATCCCTCGGTTGGTTAGCAACTACTTTGATCCGAAAGTATTCCGGGAAACTTGCATGCATCCAACACGAACCAGGTGCACGGGGATAGTCAAGTTTTGTCGATATTTCACCTTGAAATTAACTTCTTATCGGGCATCCAATTTTCTGAGATAGAACCAGCCTAACAACCATTGTTTCAAACAAAATGAGAACTATTCTCATCAGCAGCTGCAAACTTTTTCCGATTGGAGACGAGACCCGACAACTTAACTACTCACCGAAATGTATTCAAAAATCCGAAGTCATTATTTTGATGAAGATTTTCAAGATCGGAACACTTTCCTGAATGGAACCTGTTAGTCTTGGAATATTGCTTCTCAATATGTGGTTTGATTCAAAATATTCGATTGCAAGTGGATCAATTGAATATTTATAAAGCACACATGTGTTCGTAGTAAAGTACTGTACAGTACATGTATAGGCTAACTATACTTACCATGCATTACAATTTTAGCATAAAAAATGTAATAATCGTCATAGTAAATGTTGAAATATTGCTTTATGAAAACTCAATTCTCTGGGTTCGAATTATTCAAGCGCATGATTTTTCAAGAACTCACGAACCAACCCAGACGAAAATTCAGTCAGTTTCATCGATTGTTTTATTTTCATATCCCATACGTATGCATAGGAAAGACGCAATATTTTCCTTCCTTGGAAATAGTAATCCAATGCACTGATGAGGACCAAAACTGAGGATTTACTTAAAAACTCACGATTTAAACAAAATTTGCTGCGGTGCACACTGGATGATTCACGCAAAAAAAAAAACATGTGAATAAGTAACGAGTGACAGCTCAAGAAATCCATTCCCTCGTCCGGCTTAATGGAGCAAGATTTCGGATAAGAAGATGGCCGAAATTTCAAAAACCGCAATGAATAATACTAAAATAACGGAAAAAGTCGACATCCCGGTTCTAGACTTGGCCGAGTTGCTGATGATGTTCTGCGCCTCCCGCATGACTGCGGGAATGTTGATGACTGTCGGCTTCGGCGTCACGGTCTCGTAGAAATGGAGATGAATATCGTCATTGTCGACGGCGACCACCTCCACGTCGTGCGTGGGATTGCGTCGCAAGTAGTTGGTAACCAGGTTTTTGACAACATTCTTGCGCACTGCCACTTCCTTCGAAGCATTGTCGTCGTCATTGCTGCTTGGCGCGTTCTTGGACAGTTGGAAGCGCAAAAAGCTTTTTGCCAACATTTTCCCAGCGTGTTCCCGGGTCTGAGTTAGCATGTCCTCCACTGTCTCAGGCGTTGGCACGTCGTTGACGTCCTTGTTCTCGTCCTTGTTGCTCTCGCTTTTGAAATCATGGATATTTTAGAATTTGTTCCGACACACACACACACACATCGGCAAGGGTGCTCATTGTTTTATTTTATAGATATACTGTATATTTTTTTTTCTCAAGCAGGTCTCTTCTCGAAATCAACTTCTACTCGCGGAGTCCCTCGTGCAAATTATATTCGGAGTTTTCATATTTGTAGGCGTGCGACAATTTTCGTACAATTTAATTTTAAGTTTTTCTTCTTCTGTGGACTGACTGAACTGTAGAGCGTCCGAAATCTCCCGGTTTTCTTTATTAATGCTTTTTAAGGTGAACACTGATCGAGATATCCTGAGTTCTATAGTGCTTTGCCATACATCAAATGTCAATTTTAGGCCCCATCGTGATTTTCTACCACGAAGTCAAATTAAACATAGTACTGTATAGGCGAAAAACCAATTTTATGTTATGGAGGTTACAGTACATTGCTCATAAAATCACAATAAAACCTGGACTTGCAGTCGATTCTATGAATGGCTTCTATTTCGCTTCCGAATAACTGTCGAATTGTGCAAGAAGCATTCCATGAACCGAACATTCATTTTACAGAAATCTGAATTTTTTAACGCAGCCTTTTGTTCGTATCAGAGTTTAAAGAAATGTTTTTTCTCTCCCGCATATAGTCAGAGAAATAGATTGAAATAAATTTTCTGCGTATTGCTGATAATTTTCTCGGACAATCGGAAATGATTTCCAAAAATGACAGATTCGGTGTCAGTCGACACCAGGTGAATTTTTAAAATGTCCCATGAGTTGTCCATTTTCTGTTGTTGTTGGAAGAGGTCAGCATACTTTTCAAGAAACCGCTGAAAGGTCACGTAATGGAAAACTGACCTAGTGACTGTTCACTGTTTACGCAGTACAGTATTCGCCTTTCGTCACGTCGGATGATTTATAAATCTTATCCTTCGAAGGTATAGTTTCTTTTGAGCCATACAGAGGACGTTACCGCAGAATTTTCCGTTAATTTTTATGAACCTCCTTCAATGCTCAGAAAAAGAATCGGGTTTATATCAGAAGTATTTTATGCATATCACTTAAAACTTACTACCTATTAAAAATTAATATAAAAAAATAGTCCTGTGAGGAGTCTGAGTCTGGCCACCATACGTGGAAAATATTGTGGCCAACAGATACGCCTTATCCTGTCTTATGCCTGCTTCGAAATTAACTCTGAGAAATGTGAAATGTGAATGAATATGTAATATTTGAATGGGGAAAACAAACCCGGTCTGTGCTGAAGTATCCCGAGAAACGGCGGCGGATTTCTTGAAGATATCCGCGGCCCGGGCAGCGATTTCCTCCCGGGTGAAAGCCAGGTTCAAGTCCTGGATTTTGAAATTGTTGCAGTGGTCGTATGAGCACACACAGGCCTGGGTAGTGACTCCAGTCCGATAACACCCAGACAAAATCCTTCTGTCACATCCTCTCGCTACCACTCCGACTTGAAACCCCAAAATACATTCATGAAGTTCGCATTTTGTTTTCTCGAGTACCGGTATATCAACTCGATTTCAAAATTTTTATAAATTAAGGAGTTTTTCTTTTCGAGTGTATCTTCGACATTAATATTTTTCTTATGTATAGCACGAAGTGTAGAGTAACTTCAGATCAAATATTTTGAACCACTGTGACTTACAGGGCAGAAAGAATCAATTTTGGTGACAAAGAAAAATTTGTTTTTCCAGTGGCTGCTGGTGCTGGTACATTAGGTGCTAGGAAATTTCGAGGTGAACTGGAATCAATTGAATCTTTTTAAGTTTAATTCGAAGGGAGTGAAACCAATTCCCGTTTCGAAAGTTTATGAGAGGAAATTTGACCTCATTGGGAATGGTTGGATGGTGGATATTATTTCGTGGCCAATTTATTCGAAATGTTCATTATTCACAGATGACCGGCCTACAGTAATATGCGCATTGTCGTGTGATTTTTGTTTCGTTTCTGGAAATGGGGTTCTAAAATTCAGCCTCAATTTGAAAGTCTTTAAAAATATGACTAAGGTAGGTTTGACCGAAAAAAAAACTCCGACTTATTAGCGGGTTGAATTGCATGAGACTTGGAAAGATTGGCCAGGGATCAACTGGAAATATATGAAGTGAGGTTTTAGATGCGTAGAGGTTCGACTTGACAAGGTCCAATTGCAGAACCCTACGCGATTTACAATGCATTTTTAAGTGTGAGGTCTTCATTAGGTGTAGAATAAGGTTAGTCTTGTCTTTAGCTTCAGTTATCGACTTGAATTCGTAAATGCCCTGAATGAAACCAATATTTAAAAAATGCATATCTTTGTTAAGAAACTTTCATTGTTAGTGATCTGATATCATTTTCAACACAATTTTTGCTTTAGCATTATAAGGGCCACGTGATTCAAGATTTAAAAAGCCCGTATCTTTAAATTTATCAAGCTCCTCAGAATACAAATGAAGGTTAGAAAAGAAAAAAAAGAGAAAAATATAAAGAAAAAATTAGAATACATTCAGAATTTTTTTGTTTATGGTCGATTTCTTAGTAGACTAATCCTGGTTTCACAACAGCATCGCGCTAATTACCCGAAGTGCCGGAGTCGTAATAAGTAGCACACCGGTCGTAAGGCGATTTGCACGGCTTTGACTCTCCCAACTTCTCGTTGCAGTTGTCCTTCTCGGTACAGTGGAAGCAAGCTAACGGTGGACCTGGTAAACAAAAACAAACAAACTAAAATATGAATTGCGCAAAAAAAGGCAAGAGAGCTTCAATCATTGCCTCGGGCCACTAAGTCGCATTTCGTGATTCTGACATTAATTAACCGAGAACGCGATTTCCTCTTATGCTACGTCTCTCACCATCTCCCAACTTCAATGCAGCCTCGCCGAGATGAAAAAGCATCATCATCACAAGTAGAAGATTAACTGAATCCATGACGGCTGAGTAGAATTTTCGACGTGAAGATTAAACATCCATGATTCTGCTTCGCTGCACTGGGTTGACCAGGCTTGGAGTTTCACGGGGTTCCCACGCTTCTAGATTACTGCTTTCACCAGTCTTGGAAACTACACGTTTTTTCTTCTTCTTCGTATTGTTGCGACAGAAGTGCCATTCTTGATTGCACAATGATTAGAAAATGTTCTTGATTTTTTTTCCGCATCGCGAATCTATTCGAAGTTCTGTACTGCGAACGGATTTTCTAGGTTTTTTCACGGTCGTTGAAAATTGTTATCGATCGCAGGACTGTCACTCGTAGAAGTTCACCCTTCGCATTGCTGGACTTCTTTGATTTTCATGGAAGTTATCAGAGGCTTCAGGGAACATTTAGGCGTTGCAGTAATTTTATTTGGATGATTTTCTCGCTCTTCACTCATTCCTGAGCCGTTAGAGTCACATGCGTGAATTTTGATGGTTTGACTTGGATATCCCATGAATTTGACCAAGTGCTCCCACATTTCAAGTTAATCGCGAAAAAATGTCCATCCTTTGAAATCGAACCGATTAATTTACTTCGGACAGACGAGTTTTTATATCAAATGCACCGTATCTTGAATTGAGATGGTTGTGATAATTATCACTAAAATGACGAAGTATAGAATAAAAAAAAAGATCTTATGAGGAGCAAGCGAGCAACTACGCAGTTGATAGTGTAGTAGACTTGAAAAATCTCTGGAAAACTAGAGAATTGTTCTGTTCTTTAAAATGTGTGGGAAAAGTCGGTAGAGTAATGCGTTTTATTTTCCATAATTGTATTTGTTGAATTGTGTATTTGTGCATTTTCCCGATTATCCTTTGGGTGCAAAGACTCTTGGTGAGTCATCTGTAGGAATAATGATGATTCTAGCTTGTAATTGATAAACCATAGCGCAAGAAAATGTTTTCAATCTGGTGAGCGTTAGTTGAATATGCAAAGAATTGTCTGTTATTTAAAATCCTTTATTCGAGATTTTTCTTTTGATGCGATTATTTTTCAGCTCATTCATATGAGGTGCGTTTGCTGGACTTACGACTGCGCTTTTCACTCGCTACCGGTCTTTTGATACTCGAATTTTGTGCAATTTTCTGTTTTTTTGCTTGTTCTCTCTTTGTAGAAAGCAGTTGACCTCGAAAGAAAAGAGGCAGGTAGAACAAATTGTTCCTTCACTGCTCGGTCTGATAACCGTGACCAACAGCAGCTGCCGGGCTGCAATTTTCTTCCGAGTCGGTTTCCCAACATCGGAATGAAAAAATCTGCAATTTTTGTTTGCCAACTCTCAGTTTGTTGCTTCAAGTTCTTTTCAAAGTGAGAGAGAGAGAGAAGGAAAGCAAAAATAGGATGGGAAGGAGAAAAGCAGTTATCTGAGCAAGAATTGGTCCATGTCCTGGTTCTATTTACGTTTCATTTTGTGCTTAGCTGTTGAATCAGGCGCAAATAGAGAAAAATAGCAGTAAAAAGGTTAGAGAGGCATCAGGTAATCAAGTGGAGGTCAGTGGGGTTGACCTTGCCTCGCAGCAATTTCGCTGCGGTACAACGTTGCGTACCTGCAATCTTCTTTCTTTTGGACATAATTCGCAAGTGATCGCTTTTCCTGACAGGCGATTCAAAGCTGAGGACCGGAAAGAAATCGGAATATTTTCGTAACTCTTCCAATTTTTTTTTCATTTTGTTCTTATATTTCTTTCTGGTGTGACACCCTCCGAAAAGGTGTGAATGTGAATGGTGAATTCACGTCATGATGGGTCGCATTTTTGTAATGTGATAGGGTTTGAAAGACTGTCCTGAACCGCGAACTTTTGAAAATTTTCAATGGAAGACGTAAAGCTGCGAATTCGGCTTAATTTCCGTGGAATACTGTCATCCAATAATCCAATAATAATAATAATAATAATCTGATGGGAAGATCTGCGTAACATTTGGTGCCTTTCGTGAATATGAGACTCGGGTACAGTCTCATGTTCGAGATCCAAGATTTTCGACGCTTTTTGTTCATGAGGGTGGGGGGGGGGGGCTCCAATTAAATGATAGATTGATTGAATTTTGTTCATTATTCGGGTGTGATAAAATAATAATGCCTCATGGTTCTCTCTCTTCTTTTGATACAGCGGATCATGGGCGTGAGTCAGCCTTTGCAACAGCAGCAGCAGCAGCAGCAGCAACAACACCATCAGCACGTGGTGGTGCAAACGCAGCAATCGCAGGCACCCACGGCGCCTCCGCCACCGCCGCCCCGAGTCGACAGCGGGCACGAAACGTTGCCGGACGATTACGAGTCTGACGACGAGGATAGTCGGGGTTCGCCGACTCCGACGCTGCCGCCACCACCGCCGCCACAGATATACAGCAACAAAAGCGATAGTAGTGGTCGGCCGCCATCTGCTGACTCCCTGGCTTCCACGTCGTCGTCATCGAGAAACAGGTGAAGTCATACATCATACAATTTTAATCCAAGCTGCTTCGTTTGGCAGTTTTTTTTTTCTTGAATAGCTTACAGAAGTTAGTTATTTCTTTTCCATCTACATTTTCTGTATCGTTGGTGCAATTTTATTTCTGTTTTTTTTTCAGTGTACAGCAGTCGAGGAAAATCTATAACGTGCCGACCTTGAAATATTATTCCTCAAATAAATTTGACATACATTTTCTTGCTATATTCGAAAGGGCTCCCTGCCGATGAGTTTTCCCTGCCGACAGATAATTCATCAGCTGCAGGCATTTCCGTCAGTTTTTTTTGTGTGGTTTTAGTGGTATTTTAGTATTTTTCAAATTTTCTTAAAAAGTCTTCTGATTTTTTCGACTTAGAGGCCAGAATAATTGTGGTGCAGCCAGAACGGTCCTAGTTCCGCGTATCCTTTCTTAATTTATAGAAAAAAAGAAAATTGAGACAGCTCTAGATCGGTAAAAACTGTTGAATTAAGTTTTAGAGTATTGAATTAATGCCAGAAGAACACTGCTTGTGAGGACTACGTGAGCGCGCAGAACTGGGACAAATCTTTATAATAGGCCCTTTAAACCCCTCGAGAAAGCACGAGAAATGTGTTCGAAGGATAATGTTTTTGAATGTCTGTTGCATCATCGAGGGAGTACAACAATTAAATTTGACACTCTCGTGATTCGGAAAGAGAATTTAACGAACTTCATTTCGAACACATTTAACATGGTGCCTCAACTGTTCACGAAGGAAACATTACAGTGACAAAGTCGGTTGATCTGTTTACCCACCATAGAAAATAAATAATTGTCTTCAAATGTCTCAATGCCTACTATTCGAAGATAAATTTAAGTACATTATACAGAGTGTTTGAACGATTCTAGTTCTGTTCACAAGTTTTCTTAGTACAGTGCTGTATATTATTTCGTGTGTGATACAGTACAATTGTTTGTCGCTGTGAAGGAATTCGTAGGAAGATGTTTGCAAAGCACGAAAGGAAATCCCATTTAGTGATTTTGTTTATTTTTAAAAATGCGATTGTTGAAAACCGTCAAAGGAGAAGTGATGCGAATTGATCAATTTTTAGAAATCGCATTTTCTGGCAAAGCTACTCGTATTTATTACATATTGGCGGTACAGAAATTAATGGAATTCTGGCCAAATAATTGCGATATTTTCAAACCTATTGATTTCTCCAATATCAACCTCGTTTTTTTTATTCATTATTTTAAAGGGATAAGTTCCTGTCGTTGGACTCGGGCTATGGGAGAGGCACGTCACCGTCGCCGGGGGCGCCGACGTCGAGGAACAGTAACGGCGCCACGGGTCTGCGGAAGTCGTCTTCCGTGACGAATTACCCGCTGGGTGACCATCATTTGTCTCTTCCCCCGAAAATAACGCCGGTCAGCGGCGTTCTGGCTGGATCGGTGAGTTGTGCTCTGCCCCGTTCTTCTGTTCATGTTTAATGACTCGGTGAAATTCAACGACCGACGTTCAACGAGCAAACGCGGGAATAATGGGCTTTCCAGAAAATTGCCCCGAAGGAACTTCTTTGGGAATACAGTAATAATAAAACAACCAGGGAAACTGCATTTGGAAAACATTATCCTCGCGAAAACGAAAAAAATATAGACTTTTTT